CTCTCTTTTTTTCTTTCCTCTCTGCCCTTTCTTCTTTTCTATATTTCGCCTCGACGTATACGGAAGAGCAAAAAATTCCTTCTCTTCCGCGATGCTTATGTGGCGGCGTTCCTGCCATCGGATTCTCTTTCTCTCTCTCTCTCTCTCTCTCTCTCTCTCTCTCTCTCTCTCTCTCTCTCTCGTTTCATCAACGATGTTTGTCAATGTGCCATTATAATCTCGCAATCGGCGGGGGCTTCCAATATGAACGCGTGACTCTGTCCTCGTTCTCGGGTTCATTCGAGGTGCATCCGCACACGGCCTTCTCGCGCGCCGCAAGGATAAAACAGAAACGAGATCAGTCTTCGTAGATCACAGAAAGCTTTGATATGGCCTCAGCATCAACGTTCATCATTTTAATTATCTCTTGTCATCGATCAGTCGCGCGCGAGCTAAGTTCATTCGTCCGCTCTCGGCCCAGGCGTGGCGAATTCCGTTTCAAAAACAAAGCGCAGACGAGCTCGTTCTCAGCGCTTTTATTGCGCATTACACAGTCCCGGGATTGATACTCACGAGTATTGCTTTGGGTATTTATTTTGTGCTTAGAGACAGACCTTCCTCCTCTCTCTTTTTCTCTCTTCCTTCTCACTTTTATGATTTCCTCATTATGTCGTAAAGCCTCGTTAGGTCACGCGTTCACAGTGAAAAGTATAATGGAATAAGAAAAAGACTAACTTTTTTCCACCCGCAGAAAAGGAGGAGGAATTTGCTCTCTCTCTCATTCTCTCTCGCTCACTCACTCACTCTCTCTCTCTCTCTCTCTCTCTCTCTTTCTTGTCGATGATTGAACAATAATTATACAGAGTGATTGTGCTGACGTTTTTTTTCATTTGTGCGAGCGAGCCCTAGGGAAACAATCGTCGAATAATAATGAAAAAATACACAACATAATGCAAACGTAAAAACAAAGCAAAAATGAAACACTGATTTTAAGCGGAAATGATATGAATGCGACATAAGATAAATAAATGAACAAAGGAGATAAATTTTCAAATTATTTTTTATTTATTGCTTTGTAAATAAAAAATTAATTTCATATATATAAATATATTTTAATTCAATATATTATATGTACGATAAATCTAAAGCACAGCATTATAAGATACTCATATATCATATATAAAGTCTCATCGTATAACGTGTCGTTAATATATATATCTAACATAATACAAAAGCGCTATATAAAGCCTCATCGAAAAATTGACCAGTTACGTGGGCGGGGGGGGGGGGGGGGGGGTTGAAAACAATAGTAATTTTTTTCATCGTAGACATACATGCTTCGTACGAAACATGTGCGAGTGTAAGAATTAAAAAAAAAAAAGAAAGAAACTTCGCGAAAACATACCAGCTTTATCTCGCGCATCTCTCACGTACTGATGGAAAATGTTTTCTTTCGTATTGAGAGAGGACGGGGACGACGTGTTGAATTTTTCGTTTGGAATATCGTGCAGATGCGCGAGGCACAAGGCTAGATGAAGAATAGAAAATGAGAGTCGGGATGTGAAAAAAATCTTCCTCGATAAATTACAAAGTGACACCAACGTTATACACGCAAATATAAGTCATTATTACTCGCTAAAACGTAAACCTATATATATATATATATATACTTCTTTCTTTTGTGTCGCAATCACGTCTATTCTCGGTGTTAATACAGAGAGATATTAATTATATTTCATATAAAGTTCGAAGATATATGCCTAATATAATTAATATGTTGACAATATATTAACGTTTAACATCGTCTTACATTACTTTTTATATATTTGTTTAGTTTTATTTTTCCCTTAAACATGTGTCAGACTTGGATTTGGTTTATACGATGCAGGGGTTTTTCCTTTTTTCTTGCGCTCTCGCGTCGCGCGCGCGCGTCGGATGGAGGGTATAATGGGGGAGTAAGGGAGGAGGGGACACGATAATCACTCGCACGCTCATTAAATTCTACACTTCGTATTCTCTTTTTTGCGACTTCATAGTGGGAACACCGTGCGATTAATGTAAAAAAATCTCAACATTCACACATTGTATTTGTCCTTTCTCTTTATCTTTTTTTTCGAGCTTCGTTTTTCTTTATTTCGGTCCATTATATTATCACGCATTCGTTATCGGCATACTCGCAGTCACGCCTAAATATTCTAGAGTAGGTAGTCATTCTTACTTATTGCTTTGAAATTCCGTATTGAAGACGCGCGAGTGTCGCTTTTTTTTGTTTATTTGTTTGTGTTATTTTTTTATTCGTGTTTATGTGGCGATTGCACACTCGATGAAAACAAGTTTTTCAGCGCGGTCGATTTTCAGATTCTTATAAAAATCGTAAACATTTTCATAAGAATATATATATCATTTACGCTCTTAACGATCGTATGGTGTGTAAAATGTAACGAACCATCAAAACGTTTTTTCACGAGTACGCAATCAGTCGAAAGGTGTACTCTTTGATAACGATCACTCGACAATTTGGATTCGAGATTTTAAGTAAAAATTGAAAAGAAAAATTACATAAGCACGCCGTAAGAGTAGACCTCTCCACCGGTATATGAGTTTTGGTGTGTTGAGGGTATCATTGTTTCATTCGTAAATTGATGACGAGGATCGGTTCATTAAGACTAGAATGATTGAAGAATTCTGGCATTAATTTTAATCATTTCAGCTGGGTCCTATACGAGTCGCTCTTAACTAGATACACGAGATTACGTCCTACATAAAAACGATGGATTAGCATTATGCATTTATAAATACAGATATAGAGTTTACTCATACTTGTAACTTCCTTAATATATAAATACCTATAATTTTTATATTTATTTATTTTCCGTTAGATCTTCAAATGTTCTTTTGCTTAAGGTGTCTTAATGATTGTGTCTGTTGCTACGCATATTCTTCGAATAGTCGTGATGTGACGATTGGATTTGTTTTTTTTTCTATTTTTCATATCTACGTGTTACACTTTGTATTGCGCGTTGTGTGTCACTTTAGGCCTTCTTACAAAAGTGCATCTTTTTGTTTTATTCCCATTATAATTGTTTTTTTTACCTCGACAGTATCCACGAGAAATGCATGCAACTATTAAGAATCAACATTTCTACTATGTTTAATTGTTTTTTTCTCATTTCAGAATGACCATTTTTAAACTAGGCTCTAACCTATCATAAAATCCTAAATTCACTCTTTTTTAATTATTTTGACGTGCTCAGTCTGAATCGTAATTTTTTTTGCCCGCAATTATATGCTTCGAAGCCTCGATCGGTCCATTTATAATGGACGACAGATTTTTCACTTTTTGTTTAGATTAAGTTTCGCGATTTCCGCGCTCACGAGCGTTTGTTATCAAAAATATTTTAATTTTCTTGTTTATTTTTTTTGTTTTTTTCGTCTTGCTTCAAATTTTAATTTAAGCCTTAAAAAATTATCGAAATTACCGAATTCGACCCTAGTTATTTATTCTATTCGATAAACTTATTATTTGAATTTTACAAATTTATTTTCGTTTCATATTATTCCTTAATTATTGGTTCTCTGTCCCACCCTAGAATTATTATTCGGTCGATTATTTCAAATTTCCAAGCTAAGCGAACTATAATTGATACGCGATAGAATAAATATATGATCTTTACTAATAGAAAAAAATGTTTCTTTTGTCACTGATCGAAACGACGAGCAGTCAGTGCAGTTGTTTTTGGTTTCATTTCGTTTGAATTTGCGGGCGATTATCGAACAACAGTTTTGTTCGACAACAATCGAAAATTCATCTTGAGCTGTTTTTTATTAACTTGTTTTTCATTTCGTATTAAGAACAATTACAAAAATCAACTACAGTTCGATTGAAACTCTGTTCGGCGGGTGCGATTTTATACGCGCTGTAGTTTGAATATTATTAATTATGTTTTTTCCTTTTGGTTCGCATTAATCACGCCAAAATGTCCCTTATGTTTTCCAAACCTTCATTATGATAATCAGTCGAAAAGCTATACGCATATACGTATATATATACAAAGTAACGATGAATATATAATATATATTTACTATGAATATATCATGTACTTGTATGCCATATCACTTATAACGAGTCGTTATTTTACGTTTTCTATAGGTTGTTTAAATTTTATTTTCCCACTAATTCTTTATCGCGATCAATATGCTTCTCTAATTATGCACCTGGGCTCAAATATGGCCACTGCCACTTGCACGTTTCCCGAATTGTAATTTTTCAATTATCATTAATATGTGCAAAGCCTTATGGAGACGATAGTCGAATCAGTCACACATAATGTGAGTATGTGTATTTGTGTGTTTGTGTATGTGGAACCAATGAAATAATTGTGTTTGGGCTCTTGCCCGCATCTAGGCGAGACTTTCTTAGCTGCTAAGGATACTATATCCAAAAGTGTTTTTTTATATTTTTTTACGATCTGACGCTTGCATGAATTTTGTTAAAATCTACGTTGACTATTTTCCATTCTTCTATCGATTTTTTCGTTAATATACCCCAATGTTCAAGCCTAGCAAGCAGTGAACGATTTTACCTTTTTCTTCTTTTTTTAATTTTTAATGGGAAATAGGAGCCACAACTCACCGTTTTAGCAAATATACTTTTATGATATTTAAGTCTTACTTTAGGTAGATATATGAATAGTATCATCAATATTGTAATAATTATCGTATTATGCAAATAGCGTAGATTTATAATATAATTATAATTATAATAATTGTAATAATAATGTACATCATATATATTTAAATTTAATATTACTTTTTAAACTTTTCTAACGATTTCATAGTTCGAAAAATAAATATAAAAATAAACCGGGCATTTAGGTATTAATATTTTGTATTCAATAATTTCTTTTCTCTTACGCACATCTTAATTCTTCCCTTTACACTTCCAGCACTTCCTCCGCTCCCCCCCCCCTTCACTCTATCTCTGCCGTCCTTTGCGCCAGAAAAGTCCATTATCTCTTTTTTAAACTTTTTTTTATCTTCTTACATCTTTATATATTCCTTACTTCATACACTCACATAAAGTTTTATGCGTTTACGAGCGAACACGATACTTTTTTTTTCTTTTTATTCATTATTTAAATTATGTATTTCTTCGGTTTACTCTATTCCGCGTTTGCGACTTCTTTTTTCCGCTTGGTTTTACAGGGTATCGACAATGTGACGAGCGATTTCCTTTATCTTACTTTTTTCACTTTCCCGGCGAGCATAAAAAATACATGCGCGTAATCGACGAGTCCTACTTTTTAATATTTTTTTCACATTACATTCCTTCATTTTTATGCTTTCCACAAAGTTTTTTTTTGCATTTTTTTTTCTGTAGATATTTAGCATTTTCTCTCGAGCTAGCATTAAACCTAAATACTCCTCTTCGCCTTTTAGGAAGACTGGATTAAAAATCGACTTTTTTCTTTAGAGAATATCGAATATCGAATTATGCCCCCTCGTCGACTCTACGCAAATTCTTTTTAATTCTTTTAATATCGAATTCAGCATACGCTTTCCACAAAATTTTAATAAAATAGAAAAATCACGGACTACGCGAATTTTTCACTTCGACTTTACAAACGTACCAATTATATATCAAAAACAGACAATTTGGAATAACCATATGTAAGACACACTCAATGGTTACTTTACAATTTCTAAAAGCATCTTACAAATTGCACAAAAACGTACAAAACTAAATTATCTCTTATCGATTAATCCTAAAATTTAGCGATTGCCTTTTAAGGTTTTTTTTTCTCGGCGAAAGAGGAACATCAATACTTTCGTTCCCTTTCTTATTATGTTCAAATATCGATTGCCAGTATCAACGCGCATTCAAAGCTCGAGCTTTTTTATTTTTGAACAAAAACAATGCAAGCAGAAGAAATAAAAAAATCAACGGAAAGTGCACGCTAGCGAACTCGCTCGTCGTTGTTATTGTATCAGTTCGTTCGACGGTTGCATCTCTTTGTCACAAAATAACGTCGCGTTACGCCGACTTTTCATCCAGTGTCGAGCGTAACCGACAGCCCGTCGTCAAGCCGTGTTTACAATGTCCTATTTGTTCGTTACGCTGAAACGCGCATATGTCGATTAATCGGAACCTAAGCAGTGATTTCATTAAAAAATGGTAAACCATTGCGAATAACAAAATTTTCAACCTTCAAGAAAACAAAGGAACTAGCAAAACTAACTTGGCGAAATTTCCAGTCGTTGACACACACAGCGCGTAACCCTCAAAGGCTCTATCGGATCTATTCTTTTTTGTTTTTATTACGTCCGATGAAGCAATTTTCTCGTCTATGAATCCGATGAATGTGACGCTCTCATTCTCGATTATTGATCGGAGCTGAAGAACGCGACGCGAGCGAATGGACTGTGTGTGTGTGTGTGTATGTATAAAGTAACTACGACAAGCGAGCGCATATAGACAGAAACGTCTCCTCACTCCAGGGTATTTATATAGAAGTGAAGCTCGTCAACCATTCCGATGCAACATGCTGGTCGACTAGCTGGTCGCAAAAGTTAAAATAAAAACAAGTTGGTAGAACGAAGAGTGCAATCAGCAAGAGCAGCAGTAGCAGTAGATCAATGACACCTCGGCGCAGAGCGAGGCCGAGGTTGAGAACCTCCCTGGTGTGCATGTGGGGGTGGTGGCAGGGCGTCGCCGCGTCTATCGACCGCGCGCCACGAGGGGCGAAAGCGCGCGCGAGAGAGAGAGAGAGACTGCCGGCGAGGGGCTGCAGCTCGAGCGACTTCTTTTGCTTTCGCAATTCTCGCTCGCCTTCTCCTCGCCTGCAGTCTCGCCGTCGTGAAAAAAACCCGGCGAACGAGCTCGCCGACGAATCTGGAATGTGCCGCGACCGAGGCGCCGATCTACGCGCTCGCGAATCTCGTCTCGCGCGATAAGTCGGCGCGTCGTCGATGACGGACTATTTGGGGCAATGCGCGGCAAGCGGCGCCAATTGTCTTGCACAAACGGCGGCAGCTTCCCTCCTCGAGAGAACCGTTAGCGCGCCCCGTTGCGGCATCGACCGCAAGCCGCCCCTCAACGCTGCAATGCGACGTTGCCATCCCAACGGCCGACTGGCCGTGCTCTGTCTGCTTGCAGCCGCCAGATACCAACCCCCCGCGCACCTCGCACGTACACACGCTCACTGCTGCTCTAGCGCGATCCCGATTTTTCGACGTAAGTTCGTCTGTACGTCTAACTCGTTGACTTGACCACGTGGTTGCCGCGACACGTGCTACCGACGAGCAACGTACTGGTCTATTTTGAAGAAACGTTGCGAACCGTTCTCCGAGCCGATTCACGCGGGCGAAGGTGCTTCGCAATGGAGGAACATTTGACCTGGCTGCTTGGAGAACGATTACGAATGGTCACTGAATGTCGATATTGCCTTTGGAGAAAACGGCGGCGCGCGTACTCCGAGCACACTCCCTCCGACAAGCACTGCAAGGCCGGGAAAATGCATGTCCCGCAAAGCTTTTCCCTCCGCTCCTCGGTCGCTCAACGTCAGCGCGGCGCGCGCGAAGCTTTCCGATATCGAGGCGCTCCCTTTCGCGGCCATTCACCCCCCGCTAATTTTCCGGGTGGGAGCCGAGTGTCCGCGCGCCCGTGTGCCCTCGTCTGGCGCTTATTCAAATGAGCGCCGCCGCTGCCCCGCCTGACTGCACTGTGCGCGCGGATGCAGGGGAAACGCCGACGCTCGCGCACGCTCTCTCTCTCTCTCTCTCTCTCTCTCTGGCGATCGGCGAGGCTCGCGGACAAATCGAGGCGAACGAACGAAAATTAATCCAAGGAAAAGTGAAGGAAACGAAAAGGAAATGATAATTCGCGCGCGACACGGCATAAACCAACAAAATCAAAAAGGAAATCAGGAAAGAAAAGTAAAATAACAACGTGCAACAGCAAATTCAAAAATCATATTATATATTAAAATATTCATAATAATAATATTAATAATAATATTCGCAATATATATTATCGCAATACTCGTAAAATTACATAAAAAAATATAGAAAATAATAAACTCACATTTTTTGTTTCTGTCTTTTTTTCCATATAAATGTATGCTTATCGATCTTTTTTGTCTGCATTTCGCTTTTCTTATTCTTTTGTCTTATTATATGTATTTCACGCACGAATAATAATCATATACTCTCTCGCTCTCCCCGCTCAAAAGCTTAAAAACTCTCGCACTCTCTCAATGGCTCTTTTGTTCTCTTGTAATATATATCATAAACTCCTATATGCGTAGTTATACATGCACTCTACACTGGATTGGCTTTTTCGACGAAGGAAAAAGATCAACGCGTGAGGAAATATGTACTGAGGGGGAAAAACACTAAGATTACGCTGTGTGTCAACGACTGTCTTTCCGTAATGCCCAAGTGGTCTCTTTGACAATTTCTTCTTGTTCGTTATAAATGCATACGCCAAATGAGATGCAACCGAATTTTTCGTTTCAGCGAGTGTTTTCATTTATTTTATGTACACGAAAAAAAATGCAAAGACAACGAAGAAAAATGTAGCACGTGGTAAAAGTAGGACAACCAACTCATATATCGATTACGAATAATTAATAGACAATATTGATAATAATAATATCGGGGTCGGCAATGTTTCATAGCCTCCGATCTGAATATAAATTTATCTAATGAATCATGTCAAATATAAAATTAACTTCTCTCCGTTGCATTCGCGTTTGAAACAGCGAAGGAAAGAAGAAAATGGCATTCGACGAAGTCAAAACTCACTGTACGCACAACATTCAATATATAATCAATATAATAATTAATAATGAGTAATCGTAATAGATAATCCATATAACTATACATGCGCGAAATTCAAGAATGAAGTCTTAGTTTTGCCTCGTCACCGAGTCGCTCCCACTATTCTTCCATCTATTCTCCCCTCAAAAAAAGCTCGTCTTCACTCGCAGAGTCTCTTTTCATTATTAATATTTCTCTTTTTTTTTAAGTGGAAGCATGAATTTGCAGAGAGTCTCGTTTATACATCTCGACACGCTTCATCGTCATCATCGTTTTCTTTTCTTTTCATGTACGAGAGAGCATCGACGTTCCCTTAGCAAAAGTACGAAGCGGCCCCTGTTTCGCACCAAAAATGTTTTAGCCCCTTTTTTCTGAGTCCAGCCTTATCTACGATAGTTTATTATGTATATTTGGAAATACTGATTCTCTATAGTGTTGTTTTTTACGCTTTCTTTCTTTTGGGGGGCGGTTGCCTTCTCCTCGGATTTCTAACTCGGAATAGGACGAAATCAAGATTCACAAATGCGAAAAAAAGTTCCAATCTACCTATCTTTTCGTTCTGTTCAGCTTTTATCATGTTAGATAAAGCTCCAACGAGCGTATTCGGATCATACATGATTATTACTACTTTTACGCTTTCTTTCTATTATGTATCACATAAAATTAGATCATTCCCCGTAGCATGGATGATAAACAATAAAAGCGTTCAATAAAAGCAAAATAAATGTGTGTATAAATCCATGACATAAAAAGCAACAGCAGCGTTTTTCTATTCCACCAATTTTCACAATCACAAAAGCCCGTAGTTTAATACCCAATTATATAACTGTAATAGTAAAAAAAATAAAATCTCTTTCAAATTTAATTTAATAAAATAAAGAATTAAATAAAATGATGGTTGTCGTTTGTACAGCCTCGGATTGGAGATTCCAATGTTGCGCCAAGCAAAAAAAAAAATGAGTGAAGCGCACATGAAGCGGCGACGAAGGAAGAAAATACAGGAAAGGCAAAGCAGAGGGATATCAAGGCGTAAATTTCATGAGATCGAGTTAGCCGTGTTTTCGCAGCGTGCAATGGCTGCGATCATCATGTTTAACATATGGAACAATGAAGTGCAGTGATAAATGAACATGAGACGATTATTTTTTTTGTATTTGTGTTCGTGCAGTAATAGTAGTAGTAGTCGCGTTTGTTCAGACCGATGTGATCTAAAAGCCTCGAAACTTTTTATTCAACATTTTCCGAATAAAATTTAATTTTCAATGTTTAATTATTATTCAAATTCTCTTCTGTCTATCTCTCACTCATTTAAGTAATTAAGTAGGTAAGTAATGAAGGTGTAATGTAAGTAAGTTGAAGCAAGTTTATGCTGAAAAATTCACTTTAACTTTATATAGATAATAAAGATAATAATAATATAGATTCGAGTATCATTACGCTCGTATAATATTTCAATATATATATAATATGTATAGTCGCAATGTACAAACGTATATAATATAATTTTTTCCTTTTTTAAATATATTTTTATATATATATTTATATATATATATATGTGCGTATACACATATATATTAAATATTCAAACGTTCTCACTCTTATCGCAATCACTACCTATCGATCGATATTATTTATGTAAGCTTATAAACAAGCAAGAAAATTAATAAGAAAAAAACAGTCTGAGAAAACAAAATGCATGTACAAAAAATAATACAACGGTATTTCAGTGGTTAATCGATCGAGGAAAGACACTACAATTAATATAATAAACAAAGATAAATTATCTTTCTCTCTATTTCTCGATACTACATATCTCACTATATTATTGGTGTTGATTGGGCAATACATTTCCCGAATCGCTCACGACATGCGTTTCTCTCTTTTTCTTTTGTATGTTGATGCTAATGATAATGAGTGTCTGCGTTAAAGGAGAAAACATTTGCGGTTTCGTATAAACGACGGGGAGATTGTTATTATAAAAAATAATGCAAGTCAAGTACAAACGTTATATGAAATGTGTTGTATTTATGGGTGAAAAATGAAAACGCACAAACAACAAAGTGAAGAACTTAAAAACGAGGCATAATGGTTTTACAATGTAAAAAATGAATGCGCAAGCAGAAAGAAGTCGTAAAATCTATATAAAAAAATAATAGTAATAATAAGATGACGAAAAAAAAACTAAATAAAGGAACGTCGATCGAGGCCTGCAAATAATTCACAATAAATATTATGATTAGCAGTGCATTGTTATATCCGTATTTACTAGATTCACAAAAGCAGAGGTTCTTCTCGTCTTTTTTTTCTTCCTATATCTCGTGCTCTACTCATTTTTCCTTGCCATACGTTTTAAATACAATTCTAATAATGTTAATAATAATGATAATAATAATCGTCATAACCACAAGCTATAAAATAATAAGAGTAGATAACCACATTCACTATAAAATAATATATACCTATTCAAAGAATATAAATTTAACATAGCAAATACAGATTAAATTAAGCAACAATCATATCTATTCCTCTCTTTTTTCTTTTTTTTTTCTCTATTTCAATTCTGTTTAAGCCTATATATAGAGATTTTATCTTTCATTTCTAATTACTCATACACGTGGTTTTTCTCGTTCGTCTATTCAACTTTCTAATAATTCTCTTACGATTAATTATTATTCTTCGAGATATGTATCGTCAAGTATTTTTTATTTAATCCATATTATTTCCTATAATAATTAAAAAATGCTCTCGAACTCGTGCGTCTCGTATTCTCAAGAGGGACACTCGTATTTTTTGTTCATAATCATCATTCTTATTCTCTTTTCACCTATAATTATTATATATATATTTTTTTAAATTCTACAAAAAAATAAAAAATAAACTAAGATTGAATTCTGAAAAAATCTCTTTGCTCGAATTGGCTGGATAAATATATATAATATAATCTATACGTTATTTTATATAGGGGGAGGGTCGAACACCTAATCGCTTTTTTCACACTTTTTTTTTCTTTCGTTCTTTCGCACGCGTGCGTTTGCCTACCTAGAATCGCGTACATTTACTATATATTCCCACAAAGCCGAATAATGTGCGCACGATTGGAAATAACTGGCCTTGACTCCCTTTTTTTTGTCTTTACTTTTTTTACTTTACTCCGAGATAATTTGCTCTCAGTGACTTTCCCTGCGTTAATCGTGTGTCCGTTCTTATCAATTTTTTTATGACATGGATTTTTTCATTTTTTTTTTTTTTTTTTTTTTTTTTAGAAAATGGCAGTTATCGGTCACAGCCAATGGCTATTAATATTCAATAAACACTTCCTCCTCAATCTTTCAAATTTTTTATTTACGTTACACGACTATAGTTAAATTTCAAACCATCAGTAATCAAATTGTTAAAATCGCGTTTATTACTTGCTTTGAATACTTTATTTGAAATTCTAGTCATTACGATGAAGAACAATTTATTATACAATGAGGAGGTTTTGTCAATAAAGAAAAAAAATCTTATTGGTCATCCAGCTGATTCGTGGATAAATCTAAATTAATCGGATTACAATAAAAAATTAAAATTGAACGATTTTCCAATTAACCAGCTGAACGAATAGGATGCCGAACTTTCGGAAAACTTGACGTTGATAGCTCGAATCGACATCAAAGCCACTATTCTCATTCACAGTCATCGTTAAAATTTAAGAAATCATGCGGAATAATGTTCAGAGTGAGAAAGAATAGTAAAGTGGATGCCGGGCAAGCGGAACCTCGGCCAAAGTAAAAGTCTAGCGGAGGTTCAGCGCTCGCGTCTGACCGAAGCCTGACCCGCACTACTCGATGTTCAATGTATACGTACGTCTCCTCGATTCTCTCGTCATATAGTATACTGACATAAATATATGATACACGGACACACAGTCACACCAGGAAAGGGAACCGAGTTCGCCGGCAACCGCCCCTAAATGTGCTTCGAATAAAAGTCCTGTAAAAACTCTCATCGCCGCCTCACAATCTCGTGTCTTAGTCTCATTTATATATTATTGTTATTAATATCTTATATATATCTACATATTGAGAATTCTTAATTTTTTGCTGCTCTCTTTCGCTCTCTGCGTACTTCTTTCTCTCTATCATTCGACTTTTTTTAACCGTTTCCCTCCCTCGACTTACGTTTCTCTGTCTCAAGAGAGAAAAGTTTCTTTCTTCGCTCCACATCTAACAATAATACACCCACGCGTTGTTATACGCTTACTTTTTTTAAATATTTTTGTTAAGAACTATACACCTCGCCGCGGCTCTCAATCAGACTTATTTTTATTGAAGTGAATGACGTTATCCTGCAATGTTCTACATATATATGTATATAATATAATTATTCCGCTCTTTATTGCGCGGCACGCCCTTTACATTTAATTACTTTTACTTTTAATATATAATTATTTAAATTTTTTATTTTTTTACTCTTGGTTTAAGTCGGAACGTTGATGCTAAAGAGAATACCTATAAATATATAATATATATGTATGTCATCACCGTTTATATTAATTTTTTCCGTTATACTTAACATAGAAAAAATATAGAATTCATTTTGCTTCAAGAACTCAAATATAATAAACATCTTATTTTCTTTTTTTATCCCATAAGTATTTTTCCCATTTACTCCCATTTCTCTTTTTTCTCGAGCATCGCGTTCGTCTCATTTAAGTATATAATCTCTAAGTGCGGTGCAATATCGGTTTTCGATATATATATATATATATGCATATATATATCATTATCAGTACGACACGTCGCGCATTCAGAAGTAAACATTATTTTTCTGTTTTTCCTAATCGTGTACGTATAAACTGTGACTAATCTAGAGAAAGAATCAAAAATCGTCGTCGATCAACACATTTAAAACACTCTGGCTAAACTATTTAAAAAAATTTGCTATTAACAAACAATATATAAAAAAAAAAGAAAAAACAAGAGCACATCATTCTTGTCGCAAGATGAAAAGGATTCACGCGAATCTTCATTCCGGTCACCGTCTTTCGTCCTATATAATCGGTGAATGCGCGAGTCGCCATCGTCTGTGTAAAGTCTAATGCACAAATTTAAAGCAAGAAGGAAAATTATTGAATAGCAATAACGTACGTAAAATAAACAACACACGATAATACGGCAAAATGAAAGTCTGATGAAAGAGCGGGCCGGTGTCCGACCCTCGATTCACTTTTTTTATTACTCTCATTCTCACAAAAAGAAAATGCGTTTTTTTTTTGTTTTTTTTTCTGAAGATGATAAAAATTTGAACGACAAAAACTACAACAAATATATAATCAATACGTGAATATAAATAAAGCCTAGCGTCGAAGCGAGTCTCGCGCCGATCGGATTTGTTTTTTAATACTCCTCGTTCTCTTTCGGCGCCTTCCCCAGGAAAGCTCTATGCACACACGCCAGTCTCGCTTACCAACGTTACTCCAGGGGCGAAATGCATTATTTTTTTCACGCTTATTTTGCTCTTTTTACTTTAAATCGCGCTCTCTTTGTTTACTTTCTCTCTATAATATATATAAAAATAAAATAAATTACAAAAATATCATACATCATTTTGAGGAAAAAAGCCTTAAAAGTTACGACGACGACGACGTTACGACTTAGACGCGTACATGTTCTTCGTGTATGCATGTCCGTGTGTATGTATGTGTCTTTTTTTTTCTCGAGCATGTCAATGCGTGTACTTTTTTCTCTTTTTTCCTTCATCATCTTTTTTAAAAATTAATTATTACTCGATTATTACTAAGTTGCCTTGATAATACCTGTGTGTTGTTATTTTTGTTCTCCTTATATCTCGTTTTTTTTCCACGAGAGCGCGAAAGTAGCCAAAGTTTTCTCGCAAGAACGCATGACACAGGCGCGAGTCATCCCCGCACAGGCGGTGAAATACCGCGAAAATACAAAATCTAAATCTCCTCGGTAAAATATCGTCATCATCGTCGTCGATATATATAATATACTTTTTCACAATTGTTTATATTTCGTATATATAATATATATTATCGTTATTATTTCAATTGCTCTGTCGCTTATATAAAGTTAAAGATAATACTCTAAGCGAGGGACGACAGATTCGCGCGAGTCAGCACTAGTACGAGAAAAGTCCAACTTTCCGGTTCTCGTGCGATACCACGTACGAACGTCATTTGCTGGTTTCTGAAATCTTTCGAACTCGACGACCACTGACATTGTCTTGGATTTCAGTGCAACAAACGACTAGGAGCTATAAAGAGACCGCGCATCGATTTTTTTCGCTTTTCTTTTGTTTTTTATTTTTTTTCTTTTGTTTTTTTCTTAAGAAATCTTTGTCTGTCGTGTAGGAATCAAATTTGAGATATCCAATATAAATATCACATGGATTTTTTTCGCGACGAAAAAATTTTTTTTTTCTCTCTCTCTCCAGTCGCCTCTCGCACTTAATTATACCTCGATTAATGATAATGTACCCGATTATACATAATACGCATAAATAAACAACCACATATCTTCGTGTACGTGCGAGAAAGCCAAAAACGAATAAACAAAAAGATAATCCGAGTGGTCGTTGAGGTGCGGGCTGACACAAATACACGCTCTTTTGCTCTATCGCGCCGAAAACTAATAGTCAAACAAAAAAAAAAGAATATTAATAATATATAATAATTAACAAAACACGAAGCTGTCTATCTTCCTCTTATCCGTTTCTTCATATTTTTTTCGTCAGTTTTCCATCGTTTACTTCTTAATTTTTGTTCTCTCCGTCTCTCCTCTCCAAGGTTCGTTGTATAAATAATCCGCGGCGGGCGGGGCGCGTCGCTCGCATTGGCAGCAGTGAAATTGTGCGCGTCTCCATGTGTGTGAGTCCGAGAAATCATCATGATGGTTTGTGAGTCAAAGATTGAGTGTTGAAAAAATGGCATACGTTGCGAGGTCGCTCGTCGAAGGAGTTGAGATGATTTTGTCGACGAGCGAAGAAGCAGCACATGTCCGTCGTCGGTTGAGTTTTAACGTGAAAGTGTGCGCGTGTGTGTGTGTGTGTGGATGTGGGGGTGTGTGTATGTGGGTGAGTGTGTGTGTGTGTGTGCGTGTGCGTGCGTGTATTTTTCTCTTCAATATGTAGAAAAGCAGTCAAAAGTCGATCACATGATGAAGAACGTAGAAAAGCTTTGCCGCGCGGCGGGGCTTGGGCCTTGGCGCGGGGCGCTTAGATGATGATGCGAAGCGCCTGGAGCACGGGCTTCGAGCAGACGGGGCAGCTGGGCTCGGTGCTCATGCAGATGCGATGTCCGCACTCCAAGCAGAAGTGCTTGTGCCCGCACGGCACCAGTGCCGTCGTGACGTCCTTGTCGCCGCAGACGACGCACTCCCGAACGCCGATACTGCCGTTGCCGCTGCCGGTGCCCAGCAGCGAGTCCGTGGGCGAGGCTGGCGAAGCCGACGCTGGCGGCGACGGTCTCGACGGCAGCGCCACACCGGGGAACGACCAGATGGACGAGGCCGAGGCAGTCTGCGACTCGAAGGACGGCGACTCGCCGAGACCCTCGTCTCTGTCCATGCCACCGCTGTTCCAAATGGCGACGAGGTCGTTGAGACCTGCAGCGCCACTGCTCGACGACGAGCTACTGCAGCTGCCACTTGACGAGAACGCGCCGCTGCTACCGTTGCTACCCTTGACGCCCCCGGGTGTGTCGAGGCAGTTCAAAATCGAGCCCAAGCCGCAGCGGCTGAGCGCATCCAGCAGGTCCTTCTCCTCGTGCGTGCAGAGCGGCAGCACACCGGTGCGCTGGGTGATGTGGGCCTGGATCTCGTTGCGCGCGGCCGCCACGCTCTCGGGCAGACCGGTCACCTCGAACACGGGCTCCTTGTCGCGAGACGGCGTCACGATGTAGGTGTGCGTCTGATGCTGAATGCGCTTGATGGTTGCGCCCTTGGGCCCGACCACCAGACCGACCACGCGATACGGCACGCGTACTTGGATAGTTATGTGTCCGGGCACGGAGGCCGGGGGGCCCGGCGGTGCGCCGAGCAGTGCGCCAAGGGATGACTTGCGCGAGGCGCGGATCTGCGAGAAATGCTCGGCCGCCGACAGGATCTCGCGTTTGGCGCGTGCGACGTCTTCCTTGCGCCCGGTCACCACGAACACCGGCTCCTCGCCGCGCACTGGCGTCTTGATGTAAGTGTTGGTCTTGGCACGCAGCGCCTTGATCTTGCAACCTGCAACACGAAAACGAATAGGCGATGTTTCAGTTTCTGCGCTAAACTGCAGTGCGCTGTTTGTCAAAGCGTCGCGCTGCTCTGCTGGACTCTCAGTCTCAGCGCGTAGCTTGACACACATAACTTTTATTGGATTAGCATTGGGCGCAAGAAAGGGGCTGCAGACGCACGACAAGTACAAAACGCTATTCATTAAGTTCAACGACATGCGCGCCAATCGTTTTCTCCTCTCTCCCCATGCAAAATTAAAAAAAAAAATCTTGCGCGTTTTAGACCACTTCGATTATTATTCAAAACTCCAACTCCCCCCTTCGTCCCACAAAGGATTTTCGATTCAGCTCCGACAATGCTGCACGTACGAAAGAGAAAAAAAAAACGAGATAAAAGTCCAACCCACCAGACAAAAAAATCGAAAACGTTTTGCTGCAGCAGCTGCGACTGCAGTTTCGCGACTCAATTGTTTTCGCTTCCCAAGATTTCAGATTGCTTTTTTTTTCCTTTCATTCGTCTCCCTCGTCGTCTCGATCTCTCTTCTTTTGCGCGAGCCGGCAATTTTCGGCAACGGATGTCACGTTACGAGTTTCGCTACGAACGCTTGGACCAGGAAAAAAAGAACGCCACGGCGGTTCATTTGCATGTTGCTCGATAGTTTTTAATTTTATGGGACTCCATTCGGGCCTTCTTTTTTGCCGTTTAGCCTGTCAGCGGGACGCTAATTAATTGCAATTCGAGCTGATAGATTGACAAGCTTGAACGTGGAACTATCTAAAATGGTGCCGCAATCTTTGCGGAGTAGTAGCTTCGAAAACGTTAAATTGACACGGTGCAGAACAAACTCTACCGGCTGAATTGAAAAAGCTGCTTAGCGTGAGCACTCGTTGCACACATGCTCCTCCAAAAAAGAAAAAAGAAGAAGGACGAAGGAACTTTTCACGTGGGCTCTCCCCTTACAGAAAAAGAACGTCTAAGACCCTTTTTAGAATTGGTGGGGCCCCTTTAGATGATGAAAAAAAAGGAGAGCATGCAGCAGCAGCGGCGGCGGCGACGCGCCTGGTCCTCTTTCTCGCAGACTCCATGGCCTTGAAAGCACGCGCAATGCTAGCAATGCAGGTGAACCACTCTCTCTCTTTCGCCAAACCCGTTTCTCACTCGCTTTTGCTCTTGCTTCCCTCGGGCGTAGCAGCAGCAGCAGCAGCAGCAGCAGCAGCAGCAGCAGCAGCAGCAGCAGCAACAGCAGCAGCAGCAACAGCAGCAGCAGATTCGATGGGAACTTTCGCCTAGCACCATATATTCCGGGGCGAGATAGAGAGAGACCGTTGACTTCTTAACGGCTAATGCACACTGCTGTGTGAGAGTCGGATTGGGGTGAACTTCTCCCGAGGAGTACGGGACTTTTTTTCCCCCCGAGGGTTGCGGGTTAACTTGTGCGCGATTGTGGCGGAGCTGGTATACTGAGTAGGTTCGGGCCGATGGGAAGGTTTCAACCTTTGTTTTCTTGTGAAGATGGACGTGAGAATGATTAGTATAGCGAGAGATACTTTTTCAATGGTGAAACCGAAGTTTCGTAGCGATAGCGAAGTGACAATACCGAAGATTCGGAGAATATGGAAAGTCAATGATTCTCATTGACGAGGAAAAATTTCAAGAAGAAAATTTGAGTGTCGGGCGAACGTGTATTAACGCACAAACGGGCAGCATCTCGCTTCAGCAGTGATATTTTTCAGGGAGCAGCAGCAGAGACGGCGACACGTGATCTGTCGGTCCATTTACCCAGGGAAGCCACACGCAACTGAGTGCCATCTGTTCGGAGTCGTGTGCACATGCACGATGTTTCGGCAGCTGTTCTGTCGTCCTATAGCCGAGCCCGAAAGTGATATGCCCAAGCACACACAATGATCGATGATTTACCAATAGCATAATCTATTTATACACGCGCATCTCGAGAGAAAAAGAATGAAAAGATCTCTTGGCGAGAAGGCAAGATTAAGAAGAAGGATGGACGATTTGCTTTTATTTATCATCGGGATTCCTGCACGCGATTTCACTCTCTCCCCGACGTAATAATCCCTGTGTGCTCTCTGAGCGCAGAAACAAAGGACGAGAGAGAGAGGGACAATGTCAGGGCCGTTCGCCATGGTATGCCGCTCTCTCTCTCTCTCTCTCTCCTCTCTCTCTCTCTCTCTCTCTTCTCTCTCTCTCTCTCTCTCTCTCTCTCTCTCTCTCTCTCTCTCTCTCTCTCTCATCTCTCTCTCTCTCTCTCTCTCTCTCCTGTTGCCTTCACGACCAACCGACAGTAAGAGAGAGAACCGACAGTTTCTGTAGGGTGTATTTTTAGTGTTTCAGGAAATTCTCTCTCTCTCTCCCGCAACGTATGTATATATATATATATCTGAGGAGAGACAAGCGCAGCCAGGCATTTTTAACTTGAATTGTTATTGATTTTCCATGCGCGATCGCGCACCTTCCAATCGGTCGCCGCGACGACGAAAAGTGTTACGATCGAATTGTTCGGGAAACCCTGTAACCGCTCCACCTCGTTTCGTTTTTTTTTTCTTTTCTATGCCTCGATCGTTATAGTGCTTCTCGCAGCAGCAGCCTTTTACGTAACGCTGAAATGTCGTATTATTGAGTTACAAGCGAGCGGCCTGACATATCCTATACTCGTCGCTCGCAAGTGAAACAGGTGATCTTCTCTCTCCGTGGCTAATAACAGGCGAGGAAAAGGAGGTGGCACGCGCTTGCCAAGCAAGCGAGCCGGCGAAGATAATCGCGTGCGCTGGCAGCAAGGGAGAGAGAGGATGCAAGTACAGCTTCGCGCAAGAGTTTGTCGCACGCGCCGCGATCTACGTACGCGTGTTTACTTTCTTGCGACGGTCGCCGACAAGTGCCATCGTTTGTTTGGTTTTTTTTCCTCTCCTTTGTTCGTTCGACACGCGACGATCACCTAGTAGCCGTGGCTCGCCGTGCGCGCGACTTTCGACTGGGCCGTCATCTCGTTAGCATGGCCGATAGAAGGCAATCGCGCAAATCCCTCGCGTTGAAGGAGGATTTGTCGCGCGTGGCTTCGCGTCGTTCGGCCCCGATCGTGAGGCTGCCAACGAGGTGAAAAACGTTATCCAACAGCGGCGGAAAAGGAGAAAAGCGGAGCCGAAGAGGAACCGTTCGAATGTGCAAGCGCCACGTCATCTGTGCATAAATCGCAGGCCGATGGGGATCGTCAGACTGTACCATCAGCAGTTGAATCTGACCGGTGGCCGTGCGCTGCTGCCGCGAGGGGAAAGAAGGAAGAAAAAGAGGAGGGGGCGTGGGTCGTAGACAGTTGAAGGGCCGCGGCCAAGGTGAGCTTGGCGTGTGCAAGAGAGAGAGAGACAGAGAGAGGAGGAGGTGGCCACGCGCGGCGATGCACCTTTCTATTTCTTGTTTCTTTCGCTCTCTTTCATTTTTGCCGAAGAAGCGCAGGTGCCAGAGCTAACTAATCCACACACCTCTCTCTTTCTCTCGCTCTCTTCGCTCGTTGCGTCATCATCGTCGCATCATTCCTAATCAAGCTATTCCCACGCTTTGCACACAAAGAGAAACGGGTTTGTATGAACACCGAGGGCCGAGCGGACAGCTCGTTTTCAATTCTTTGCCGCCGATTCTCCTACAGTTGAAAAACCGACGCCGAGCCGAGAGCCCCGAGAGGAAGAGTGGCGGCCTGCAAGCTGCACCAGAGGCTGCCAGCTGCATTCGTTGATTTTTCCACGTTGGATGTTTTCGGCTGTCAGGCACAGCGACTCATCTGTCTGTCTCTCTCTCTCTCTCTCTCTCTCGCTAGATGGAAATCTCGCAAGCTCGAAAAACAAAGGCGAGCGAAAGAAAGGACTTTCCTCGACCCTCCCGGGTAGTTTGGCGCGGCGCCGGGTCAAGCGAATTCTTCGCGCTTCGCCGAAGACTCGAAAAGCCCATTCGGTTCTTGGAGCCGAGCCCGAAGACGAGAAGGGCGCTCGATCGGTAAAGCAGAAGCTCGTTTCGGCGCTCGCGAGTCAGGAGGGAAGAGACAAACAAAAAGCAAGGAGGCGCGCGCGATATAATACTCCTGCCCCAAAAAAGACGCGCATGCACGCGCGCGAATATCGGCAGGCACGTATACGCGAGCCGGTGCGCGAGCGAACGAGCGAGTTTCTCAGGCAGGTCAGTGAAACTGCGCCGTCAAGTTGAAGGCCAACACCCCCACAATGCATCGGCGGCGACGGCGGCGGCGGCGGCGGCAGCATCGCCCCACTACTACTGCTAACTAAGCGGTTGGGGCTTTCCCCTCCCGCTACCTCACCGCGAGTTTCTTCTTATCTCTCTCTTTCGCACTTTGTTCTTCTCTCTCTCTCTCGCGCTGTCTCTCTCTCTCTCTCTCTCTCTCTCAGACTACTTCTTTCCGGCGTGCCATTGTGCGTGCGGGTATGTATGCACTCTGTCGCCCAAAGTTCTTTCGCTAATTATTTTTGGTGAATCGAGTGCGGTTTTGTAGGTTATTGTTACGCGTGCTGCTGACGAGAACGCCGTTTCGTTTTCTTTTTATTTCGGTGACGCGGTGTTGGATTATCACACGCATAATTCTTTTTATCCTTGGCTGATTAATGTCGCGTTGCCGTTTTTTCCTATCTGCGAGTGGTAAAAGAACAGTGGAACTATTCAGTAGTAATTAGTTGCGTTTTGTGGATAAGATAACTTTTAATTGCGTTGTGTGCGCTTGTACATCGAGCGGATCATTTGGGGCAATCCTTTTGACAACGCGTTCGACAGCTACGCGACCGCATATCGTCAAAGCGTCAAATTCAACAGCAATTTTCAACGGGATAAGAGTGGGGAATGCGAAGATAGCAGGCCATGAAAGTATAGAAAAATCCAAAAAAAAACGTCGCCTGACCACCCATGCTCATCCTTTTTATCTGTCAAGCCGTGGTCGCGGATAGGAAACAGCAATAAGCTACGCGCGTAGCCGACAAACGTCGAGACTCACGCAT